AAAAATTCCTGATTTTTTACTGAATTTTTTGAGTCCATCGAAAGTTTATTTCTTTATCTGTAGCAAAGAAGAAATTATATTTTCATTTCCCCCACTCCTGAAATCCTAATCCTTACTGTATATAACTCTGTAGCGTCTCGCTCGAACTCAACGCGCAGGGCGCGTTTCTCGCATCGCTCAACACTACGAGTTTCTCGCTCAAAAATGTATTTGGCTCGAAACTCTACCGAGTTTCTTGATGTGGAGTTTCATGTGCTTTGTCTTATGCATTGTCATTTTCTATTCTACAAGAATTACCGTGTGTATTTCAACCCTCTTATTTTCATATGGGTTTTAAACAAAACGTAGAAGAGGATGATTGCATAGAGAATTGCACGTATACACAGACGAAAGTTATATATTTAAATATATTGAACAGGTGTACTTAATGTTTATAACTCTGAACTAAAAATATACAGCCAGACTTCAGCTAAACATAAAATAATATATTTATTATGGCTTATAAGTATCACAGGTAAGTTTAAAAGCTTTAATAATTTGTTTATTAGTCTTACTGACTTAATACTGTAATTCCATTCATTCACTGTGATCTAAATTCTAAACAATTGAGTAATTGGCTACAAGAACAGTCTTCTTTTATTTTCATAACTTATTTTATGAATTACTATATGGATAAATAATTTAAACGAGTAATTTCTGAAAATGTAAGCAGACTGTTTTTGTACCCAATCGTACAATTTTTACAACCTTTTTTTTTAATACAAAATGTTGAGCAGTTCAGTGACTTAGCTAAAGACACTTAATAACGTCAGAAAAAACAGAATTACGTCTCACTGTTAAAACGTATATGAATATCATATTGGATATTTCATTGATCTGTTTCAAAGTATTAGTTTTTAACCAGAACGATTTGCATCTATTTCTAAACATTTTACATCCAACTTTGAATATTCTGCTTCGAGATCTGAATATTCTGTTACTAATTCTGAATCTTCAGCTTTAGATTCTGAATATTATACTTCTAATTTTAAATGCTTTGCTTCCAACTCTTCCGCACGAACCCCAAATTTCTTACCGTTCCAAGGAGTTACAAACATAATTCTCTTTTGCTTTCCACTCTGACGATTTTCCTTAAATGTGTCAAATTTTAAATTAAATGAAACAAATGTAAGTTTTCCTGCTCTGTCAGTTAATAAGCGATTTTTCTTTTCAGTATGCACATTTCCGTATCTGCTAAAACATCCTTCTGTTGCAGCACTTGTGGCTGGCATACTAAGTATGTAAATTGCGATTGAACATAGTTTTGGTTTACAGTTGTTTTTCCACCAAATTATGGCTGGTAACGTCTTAAGGTGAAGTGAAACACGTCGATAAAGAAGATTTTTCTAAATTCCTACGTTGCCGACGTTCGTTTTTATATTGACAGCTGGGTCGAATTATATTGGGTATTGTACCAAATGGCATACTCCACCTGTCGTTTTCGTACAATAAATATCAAGAAATCGAAGTAAAACTCCAGAAATCCTCTGGATTCAAGCTTTCTGGGGTCCCAATTGACTGCAGAGGGACACCCTGCGCCATCTGTGATTCCCAGGTCAATTAAATTTTCACTCCGAGACCTTGTATTACCATCGCTTTAGCATAGAAGCGCATACAACACTTTTTTTGAACTTATCCTGTTCAAATGCGAATTTATCGATTACCAGAGTGTTTTCTAAATTGTCGTAAAATTGTCCTGACCCTTTCGGTTCTCATATCAGAGCCTTCGATAATTGTATATTGATCGAGATATGAGAGCTCGACGCCATTTTGGTTCTGGTCTGGGCTGAGTTAAAAATTTTTTTGGAAAATCCAAATTTTGAATGTGTCAGGACAATTCTTAGATGATCAGGAGTGATGATCAGGTGTGAATGTGTCAGGAGGATTAATGGTTTTTTGAACAAATGGTATAGCAAAAAAACCTTTATTTTGTTTATAGTAGGCCAGATTTGCTAGGACTTGTTCCACACAGTGAGTATCTTCTGGATATTGATAAACTGCGCGATCGTGGATTAGTTCTGTTCCTAATACCTTTTGTTCTCGAGTTAAATGTTCGCCATTGAATTTCGGATTCAAAATATTAGCTGCGAAGTGAATTGGCTGCATCGATAAATTGCTTCTTTTTTCATTAATAGGTTTAGGTGGGCACATTCGTTAAGCGACAATGGAGAATCATCGAGCAGTTCTTCGTATGTTGCTTTTATTTCCTTCCAAGCTCTAGGAACTAAGCTGATTGTGCAAGTAAGACTTTCCAAAATTGTTATCCATTTAACGACTGGTGCCAGAAGCTCATGGAGATTTAGAAGTCCACACCACAAAGTCTCGTTTAAAATATCTATCTTTACTTCGTATTTTACATTGTCTAATATCGCTAATGTTTTCAGAGCCATTTTGTATAATAAACTCTCGATGCAAAAGAGTGTCGATCTCCATCTTGTTTTTCCGGGTAATTTTAATGATATGACTTTTTGCTTTTTTTCTTGAATTCTAATAAATTCGGGTTTAATTGCATGAGAAGAATTTATATTCTTAACAATTTCAGCAGCAGAAGACTGTACCGCTTTAAATGGGTGAAACTTATTTATATCTTTTATTACTAAATTCAAACAATGTGCCACACATCCATAAACGTAAATATGTGGGCATACTGTTTTAGAAGTTCTCCAGCTTTCACCATATTCGAAGCCCCATCTATAACTACAGTTAATACCTTTTTAGGACCGATTCCTTCAATTACCTCAATAATTAAGTTTGACACGTATTCTCTCGTGTGAGACTCTCCTTTCGTATCTTTCGTTTTATAAAGGAATGTTTCGGGGATCGTGACAACGAAATTATCGATTGAATTATTTCTGCAAACAAAAATGATAAAATTGTCTACAAAATATGTATCCTATAATTCTTGGAGTTTTTTTTTTCAAATATTATTTTTCATTCCAAATAAATCAATTATGAGTTACCGAATATCGCTCCAACCATCACATTAAATTCCGATTGCACCCGATTTTGCAATAGCTTCATTAACTGCTAATTCAATTCTGTCATGCTCAGCGTTTAAAAGACGATTACCAATTTTATAAGCAGATGGTAGTTTCCATGATGGTCGTAACTATCGAAAGAAATCAATCCAATATTGATTTTCAAGCACCGATAATGCACTATCAGATGAAAATATTGCTCT